GGATACAAAAAACTGTGATTGTAAAGAGGTGTGACTAATATAGAGGTATTTTCTATATACAGTAGTTATAAATAATTAGTAAAAATAAATTTGTAATTACAGTATACCAATTTTGTGACTATAAAGGAGGTGACTATAGAGGGGTTCGACTGTACTCATAATTCTAAAATGATTCAATTTGTTACAGAGAATAACGCATGTAACACAAATATACATCATTTAGAAAAACCCGATCACATTTTATAAAGCCATATTCTTTCATGAATAATGACAAGCACCCACTAATTTAATAAAGGACATGGTAAATATAATTATCGGGCAGCTTACTATGATTTATCTGCCAATAATAAAATTAATGGACAGAAACAAAAGTTTAAAATAGTATAAAATAGTTTAAACTATTGTTTCTGCCCAATAATTTTATTATTTGGCACAGAAAATCATAATAAGCTACCCGATAAATCCGTTGTCGGGCAGTGCCCGCCTATTATTGATCATCAATACTTATTCCTATTTGTATACCCGGGTCTACCAAAACTTTATCCTATACAGTATTCGTAATTACTGAATTTTTATCTTTGAAATATGAAGCCACATAAAGGCTTGGTTTCATGAGGCTTACGAAACCGTGCACAATAATATTTTCTTATATGTCACAACAGTGATAAATATTTGGTGTCTTTGGCCAAAAAAAAAAAATTATATTGAATCACTCAATGAAGCCAATTCTTCATTCTTCATTGATTATAATCAGTCGCAAAATTTAGTGACTTCTGATGATTTGAGAGGCTTTGGATAAACCTTTGTTTTTCTTAAAAATGCTTATGCTTAATAATTCCTGAGCATCCAAATGTCTATATAAACTCTTCCAAATCCACCCTCTCGAGTTCTTCGTTGAAAAAAAAATGTCTTCACTAAAATAATAAAATAATAATAATATATCAATATATAATATATAATAATAATAATGAGGTTTGCTACCGTTGGACTTTTAGCCGCGTTCGTCGCGACCGTTGCTGCTGGTAGTGTATTTTATTCTTCGTTAAGCTTGAAGTCAGCTTGCGTTAATTGATTCTCGTATCTATTTATTTTAAATTTCAATGTTACAGAACCATACTACGAAAAACGTTACTATGAACGTAACGCCGAACCATACTACGAAAAACATTACTATGAACGTGACGCTGAACTATACTACGAAAAACGTTACTATGAACGTGACGCAGCACCTTACTACGAACGTGACGCCTACTATGAACGTGACGCCAAACCCTACTACGAAAAACGATACTATGACGCAGCACCCTACTACGAACGGTGCTTAGTTATGCATGATTATGCATGATCTACAAATCAGATTTCGAGGATTAGGTGTAACGTAGCACTATCAAAACAAACGTTCGTTTTGCCAAAAATCACTTCTTTCTCAAAAATCTGCATAATAAACCACCTTTAGTGCACTAACAAAAAGTTTTTCTTGTTCGATTTTACTATATAACCACTTAGCTTTTAACTTTATATGAAACGTTAACCCTAACATTAATGAACTTTAAAAAATTTTGTCTACGTCACTAACTAAGCACAGATTTTCCGGATGCACTACGAACGTGATGCCAACCCCTATTACGAGCGTGACGCCTACTATGAACGTGACGCCAAACCCTACTACGAGAAACGATACTATGAAGCTGCAGCCGAGTCCGAGCGGTCG